TTTTTTCGATTGTCGTCGTGTGTGAGTTTTCTGTTTGTATAGTTTAAAAACTTCCTTTCTGTTAAGGTCTTAGTGTCAGTGTTCCCTCGAGTCTCATTTTGTGTGAGTATGTGTGTGGTATTTGACGGATATAATCTAACTTTTTCTTTTAAACTGTCATATTGCAATGAAGTTTATATTGACTCGGTATCTGTAATATCTGGAATATGCACCTAAGAGAAATACTTTAAATTCATTTACGCTCGGAAAACATGTCTTTGTGCCCTAAACCAAAAGGGTTGTAGTATTGACCACACAGTTGAATAATCCTGAATGGCAATGCAAAAGATAGGATGCCACAAGTTGATTTTTCCATACCACCATGTAACAGTCATTTCCGAATTATGACATTGCCGTGTTTCTTGTTTGCTTTAATTAATAAATACTATTATTATTATCGTATATAAATTTGAATGATTTAGTTTAGGCAAATTTAATACACGTCCTCCGCCCCTCTCTCCTCATTTAATCTTATAAATAATAGCACCATCCTCGTCGGATGACCAACCGCCAACTCATCAGAGGGTAAGGGTACGTCTACTGACCACACCCATGAATTAGAACTCTGACTCGGTATTTTCTTAAGATGAAAGCGGTTCTTTAAATGTGGTTTTATGACCACCTGAACGCTAGCAATTAAATAAGCACAAACATTTGCTAGACTATGCAAGCTTTAATTTCTGAATGGCCTTCGTGCATAAGCGAAGATTTTCCGACCAAGAAAGGGGCGGGTTACTAATTTTACGGAAAAACAAACTGACCGACAATCGGCATTAAAATCGGGCTTTAATTTCAAATTTCCGATTCTTTATGAGCACGTCTCACAGGGTATAAAAAGGCCTGAGTTTTAAATGCATAGAACAAAAATTATCATCGTTTCTCCGAGTTGGAACTCGTTGTTTAAGGAATACCATGAACATGGCGAAAACACTTCTGGTAAGTGACTTACTTAACAACATGAACAGTAGTGTCACCAAAAAAATGAAAAAATGACTCTCATTTTAAAACGGGCTTTAAGACATATACCCAACCTATGATCTCTACTTTACTTATGAAGTTCCAGGACAAAATCCCACTTTGGGAACTGTTATTTACCAAGAGATAGATTAAGATAAAACACCTGAAAGTATTTATTTAGTTTCCAAGCCAAAGTTTGTTTAGGTAAGGAGCTGAACTAATACCATTCCGCGTCCGGGGTTGGACTTAGTATCGTAGAGTAGAACACTACCACCTAGCTCCCGCCATATGTTAAGACATTATTGCTAAATGACTGAAATCGCGAGAGGCCCTTGTTTTTTGCTTCTTTTTATCATACTATTAAATTTTATCGACTAACTGTCTAGAGACACGTACGGAGGGTAGTTTTAACATGCATGAAATTGCCCTGTTGCCAACACGGCCGGAACTGTCAACAAAGCCGGGAAAGCAGAAGATCTTTATAGCAAAGTATCTAGCTCAGTGTAGTCATCTTATTATCATCATACCCAAGTTTTCTTTCAAATTAGTTTTTTTACTGTACTTTGTACCTGTGAGAGTGCAAAGAGTGCTTGATAGCATGCAGATTCTTATCGTTCTTAAGTGTGACTTTTCATCGCACTCAGAGCTCACCGCAACTACCCAATTAGTCTTTTAGACATTGTTAACTACTGACATGATATTACTCGAAGGCATTCAGTGAGCCGTCAAGGATCGAAACTAAATATTGAAATTAAAAACATTNTCTAGCTCAGTGTAGTCATCTTATTATCATCATACCCAAGTTTTCTTTCAAATTAGTTTTTTTACTGTACTTTGTACCTGTGAGAGTGCAAAGAGTGCTTGATAGCATGCAGATTCTTATCGTTCTTAAGTGTGACTTTTCATCGCACTCAGAGCTCACCGCAACTACCCAATTAGTCTTTTAGACATTGTTAACTACTGACATGATATTACTCGAAGGCATTCAGTGAGCCGTCAAGGATCGAAACTAAATATTGAAATTAAAAACATTGTTGAAGACAGCGACTAAATTAGACGCTGCAACGTGTTCTAGTTTCAACTAAAGATGTTCGTTGTTGTTTTTTTAATCTTTGCCTCTGAAAAATATTATTGATATCTATTTTAACAAAGACAGCCATTTACAAACTATGGAGTCGTTAATCAGCAATTACTCGTAAGCTTTCCCACAAATTGATCACAAAAAAATCAGTCTTTATTTGTTTATTGTTTTTTTTTCTTTTTTTTTTGGGGGGGGTGGGGGGGACTTGTCGGCTAAAAAAGAGTGACTTTCTTGTGTATGCCCATTCGATAAATAATTATCAGGGACACTTGCACTTCCCACACTTTTACTTCCGGAACTTTACTCGGGTGCGGTTTTTTGACAAAAACACGGCAATTACGGCAGTTCCTTTCAACGAGCGGAAATAGTTCAATAATTTGTTTGTTCCTGTGTTATCATTTTAGCATGTTTAATCGAGCGTAAGGGCTTAACAGTCGAAAGCCGTAATCTAGAGTAAAAATTTGAAAGAAGAACTTACTTCTGTATTCAAACAATTATTTCCTTTCTTGTGTGTCTCCACATCAATGATTTTCAACTTTTTCAAGGTCAAAATCCTCTGGCATTGTGAGACCGTTGGATGACAGAACTACAGCTTTAGTTCACCGTAGCTTATTCTCCGCGCTAAAAATAACTTCACACTTAAACACTTTGTCCTATTTGAAGTAACGCTTTTCGAAGCCCTGACCTAAGAGTCAATTACGTGAACTTAACTTAACTGATAAAACCGTTGATACAAAAACGTGTTTGTACTGGGCATCCGGTAACTATAACTAACTAAAACTTTTTCTGTAGATCCGGCTCTCGTCACGAATCCCGTCTGTTAAGTAATGTCATGACTCAGTGTCTGATACCACTTCCTCAGTTCAATTTTAAGGCAAGACGGATTCAGTACTGATTACTGAGAATTTATTTCCTTCATGCTCTTTGGATTTTACACCAATATTTCTAACAAATCAGGAAAGACGTCTAGGTTTATATTTCAACGAAACATTTTCTAAAAATGACAATAGCGAGTGTTTAGCTAGTATATGGCGATTTTATCGCGTGTAATAGGCGTGGCTTGTCCTCGTATTGGGGGTGCAGGCTACACCTACAGTATATGCATCCGACACCCACGGCAAGGGTTTGGTAAGGGAACATCATCAGCCCAACAAAGCCCTTCGAGGAAACTTTCATATGATTACAACCACCAAAAAGGCAAATCAAATCACGTCTACAGAAAAGATGTCGACAAGACTAGCACAGAAAAGGCAGAGTGCGAGCTCATACTCATATTCGATAAAAGATTAACAAGTAACAGATTCTGTCGTTAATTGCTGCTTTTTGAAACACGAAGTTATTTGCCCAAATACAGGGGCACTCAACGAGAATATAGTTCAAAACCACTCAAACATAGCATTGTTAAACATATATTTTAGTATTTAAACGGTAGATATAGGCATATTTTTATCCCCTAAAAGTTTTTCATCTGTTCGGATTTCCTAGCTGAAAGTCTAGCGATTCGAAAATTAGAGTGATCAAAACTTACCTTTTCGAAAATTTCAGCCAGAAAAAAGGCTCCCGAAAATTGTAGGTGGCCTTTTAAGGGTAAAAATCCGTTAAAAATGGGCAATTATACCATTTTTTAGATGTTCGAAAATCCTAGGAAAGGCAGACAAGCAAGAAATTTTGCAAAAAATGTTCAGAAAACTCTAGATCTCAAATCGTCTTCCGAACAGTTATTTTCCGAAAATTGTCGTTAGGTGCCCCTGCAAATAGTTTATATGAAAAATTGCAACTTACGCTCACGTGGATTAGTAAGAAACTTGTATAACTTCTCGCCGGCTAAACGAAGTCCTGGTCATGAGTACAGTCGAACCTCACTTTACGGACACCCGCTGAAAACAAACACCTCGTTTAACACACAGTTTTCTTCGTCTCTGGGAAAATGCCCTGACATTTTCTCCAAATTCAACCCGCTTAATACCCGGGGGGGGGGGTACTCCCGCGAATTTTGGATAGGGGTGTGCCGCGTAGGTTCGTGGACCCTAACCCTATTTAAGGACTAAGAAAGCGAAAACTAATACCCTTTTTAAGGCCCAAAGTCGAAAAATGACACCCTATTCAAGGAAAAACAAAATTATTAATAGCATGAAAAGGAAAACTTTATTTCTTCACTGTAACACTGGATGTATATCATCAAGCATAAAATACTAGATACAGAAACAAAAGGGTAAAAAAAGATACCCTATTTAAGGACCGAGAACCTCAAAAACCATACCCTATTCCGCGGCACGTACCTATATAGCCCATATGTGGGAGTACCCCCCTCCCCCCTCCGGGGCTTAATACGGACACCCGTAATGCAGACAATGGACACCCCTTTCTTACCCAATCATCAGATTCTCATACAAAGTCAAACTCACTTATGCTGTATTAGACATTTCCTTTTATTGTAAAATGTAAAAAAACCTTCAGTTGATTGCATGTCGATGTTCCCAACGCTACAGTACACCAAACAAGATGAATTGTAGACTATTCAGATTATTTTGGCATCAAACGAGTTATGCAAAGACTGCCGGTTTTGATTAAATAATAATATAAGTATAGGCGAGGGCGATTTTTTACTATATTTCCGTGGATTTATTCCGCGGAATGAAGGCTTTGTGAAGGTTAGACATGTTTACACCTAATCTGACGATGCTTATAACTGTCCTCTTTTATTTCTTTAGTATTTTGCCCTTACATTAAAAGATGTCTTTTACATTATAATATCACCCACTTAAACTCTACGGGCACTCCGTTAATACCGACACTGTTTCTTAGAGCTGAAAAGGACCCAGTTGTACAACTTCTGATAATGAAAACATATAAAGCAGGGGAAAATGGCCCAAACAGGGCGAAATGGTAATTAACAAAAAGCTCTGCTAAAGTTCTGTGTTATTTTTCGTTTCAGGGCCTGGTTATTGTCACAGGTTTTCTATGTAATTATGCCAATTTAAGCTGTATGCCGTTGCAAAAATTCAAACTGATGTCAGTTTATCGTCATCGCATCAAGAATACTAACTATTCGTACATGAAGGTAGAAGTTCAAAGTGGGATTCCAACTAAAATAGCATTTGACGGACTGAAAGATCAAAAAAACTTAACTGGTAAGAGAGAGTTATATTTCGTTATAATCTCATCTGCTTTATGACATGTTCGCTCTATAGATGAAACCATGAAATGTTTCATTACGGTGGATCACGGCGGCAATTCGTATTCATGAATTGAATTGATTGCCCCGTCGTATGAATTCACTGAGTCAAGCAGAAAAAGGACTAATATTCTGCCAACTTTGAATATGTTCCCAGTAATTCAGTTTGGTATTTCATATCAGATGTTACGACGAGGAAAAGAAAACTAAGAAGGCTTGACGTAGAGTATTTTTAGAAAAACAACATCTAGAAATGGGTGTCAAATAGGTGTCTTCATCGAATTTATGTTTGTTTTCTGCCACACCGACAGAGTTCCACTTTGAAAACTGTCCCCATCAGACACAGACCAATCAAGTCACATTAGTTACTACAATACACTGGAAATCCAATATCAACGGGTTAAGATACTACTTGGCCGTAAGAGCCGGCCAAATCAGGTTGGAGGTAAGCTTCACAAGGGTTATTCATTTGTTAAAATATGGCAAGCATTTCTGAGGGCTGAATGGGGCGCTCTAATTGGTTGCTTTGTGATCAGGATTTCATTTTACAGTACACACTGTTGCCAAGGAAACAACCCTTTCAGGCTTATTTTAATTTTTACTATATTTTTTTTTTTATTGATCTCTTTTTTGTCTGGGAAAGTTAAAGAAACACAAGTAATACAGATCAGGGTTATTGCGATAATCACCTCAAAATAAAACTAGGACCTTTTCTCTTGCCGGACTAGTCCTTTGGAACCTGTCCAGACGGGTACTCCCTATCATGGCCTATACAGAGAAGTCCCCCCCCGCCCCCCCCCCAAAAAAATTACCTCTTTCATAAAGGGTAGGTATTTCACTAGCTGAAGGATATAAAATTAATGATTTGGAAATCTGTCATTAAGTTCTGTAAGAGGACCTTAAAGGGCTCAGCTGACAGACGCTATTTTTGGTTGTGAAAGAATCATAAGAAAATTTCGTAGTTTAGTGATATAATTCATATTTAAAGACAATGCATTTACAACAGTAAAAAGGGATACAAAGTTCTAAACTAGGTGTGTGAAAGGGGTACCATTTATCAATACAAGGTACTGGAATGGGGTAACGTTTCTGACAAAAATGACTTATGAAAGAGTACGGGGTTGGACGGGGGAAACTGAGACAAGTTAGGAGCCCATAACCCCAAGCGAGAAACTTCCATGCGTCCGTGTCACGGCATTTTTACTGACCAGTTTATTTTTAGGCCGGTTTTGGCGCGTATTTAATACCTTATTATGGGAAATTTACGATGAACGTTGACAACGCGAAGAAGATTTACGTTACACAAAATTAACGCGAATTTTCCAAAAGTTAGGTTTACATACATCAAATTAACGCGAATGTTTTAAAAAACAATGTGGCCTTACTTTATTTTACGCGATTTGCTACAATACAAACTTCTCATCATACATCCAGTCATTGTTATCTCATTGTTATCGATCATGTTATTGCTCCGTAAATGGATCTAGAGAGTGAACGCTCCCTTGGACGAAGACCAGTCGAAAGACATTTTGAACTCAATTCTTAAAGAAGAACTGTCAGATAGTGACTCCGAGGCGCTGATAGAGGAACTATGAGCAGACGAAGTTTAATTTGTTATTGAAATATAGGTGCTGTAGAGCAACAATGGTGTAAAATAGTGTGATATAAACCAGTAGTAGCCGTCGGTTAGGAGATGGGGGCGAAGATGTGATTGATGAAAACTGCTTTCACAATTGTGGGAGCCTTTTTTGTTCCAGTGTCAGCAAAAGGATATCACTGCCGATCATGAAAACTAGACTGGATTGAACCAGCAAACACATATTTAATTCAACGATTTTATTCACATTTGTTTGGATACAAGTAAAACCTGAATACACTTACATCGATTTTTAGACTTTGCTAACACTCGTCTCTTACCGAAAACTTGTCCCGCACTAAACTGAGATCAGGCTGTACTTTCATTTTCCTGGGTAAATAGTTCCAGACCGGCAAACAAGCTACGCAATGCCCTAGACAAATTGAAATTTTTTTGTTGTATTCTTTTGTTTACTACTTCATCGCCTTGCCGTAAGGATTAGTTTGCCGTTTCATATTTTTCTACAAGTTTAATTGTACTAATCCAGGTCTACTGACAACTGGGAGATCCGGCACCACTCATTGGTTTTTTGCTGTGGACTTGCTGACATTTTATGCAAATTAATATACATGCCTCGAAAACTAAACACCAACCATGAAAGCAATGAGAGAAATGGAGAACAAGTGTTTAACTTTGAGGATTTATATAAGCTTAAACTGAAGTCAATTGTATTAAGCTCAACTCACTCTTTCCGAACACTCGCTTTTCTTCTTGCACCTCTTCTTCTTTCTCGAACTTTTACACATGCAGCGATACGCAGCGTCAGCACCATGAAAAAAGCTGACCTTGCAGCACCGTTTAAAAAGCTGACCATTCACATACCAAGCATATTAGTTGGACGAACAACGAAATCTCTAGTAATAAAGTGCCGCTGACCAAGTCAAGATTAGGCTCCGGGCTCCTCTTGTTGCCCGCAATTAACATCGACGTAAATTAAGATGCATTAACTTAACGCGATGTTTTAAAATCGCGTTAATAATGAGTGCATCGATCGTTAATTTCCTATAATAAGGTGTCTTTTAAAACTGGCAAACCTACAGACCTAAAAATAATATTTTTTGCCTTTTCAGAATGTTTAGCTTTTCTTTTTGATATCTTATGCTTTGAATGCCCTCATAGACATGGTGGAGATTCTATTTTCTAGGGAACTGGGTGTCCTAAAATGTGTCTAAGAATAAACTGGTCAGTAAAAACGCGGGGAAATAGACCTAGTATAGGAGTTGCCCGCTCCGGCCTATGGGCTCCTGGACCTGTCTATCACGAAGACGAATGTGACCTCTCTGTTTTATATTGAAAACCAATCGGTAAATATTACAATTTAAAGCATTCTTGCAAAGCCGTTCTAAAAAAAATTTATGTTCATTTTTTACTTTTATTTTCTAGCAAGTTTCTTCCGTAACAGATCACCATCGATTTTTCGTCCGCGCGGTATGTCTTACTTGTACTACTTATAAAATACGATCGGTTGCATCAAACAAGTATATCAAGACCGATTCCTCAGGACAGGCTACGTTAGGAACTAAAGGGGGAAATCGCAAAGCTTTTTTCCGGAGGCAATCATGTTGATAAGAAATAATTTTTCATGTAAGAATTAAATAATCCAGTACAACGCCCTAAAAGGAACACATCCAACCTCCATTTTACAGATCAAAGGTGTACTTCTAAAGACGCAAAGATGGATTTTGTGGAGTGACCACTGCGAAACCGTAAACGTCAGCTTACAAAATCCCCTTTCCCCCCCGTTATCGGTTCATCTACCTGAAAACAACAACAAAAAAATACATCCAGTTATAAGCCCTCCCCCCCCCCGCATTGCCTGCGAACAGCAGACGTATTTCCGGTCTGTTCACAGGCTAGCCCCCCTCTAGCTTGTATTGAAACAAAGGAAATGTTTTGAAACGCTTTTAAGTCCGGTTATAAGCCCCTCCCCCCCTAGTCCCCCAATAAGAACCCCTTAAAACCCCGTACGAAGTTGTATATTAAGCCAAGGGTTTATAAGCAGAAGTTTACGGTATCTGCAAGGGAAGCTTTCTTTATACTAAGGTGTCCGCGATGTGTTATTTCACCTATTACACCTTTTAATCATAACTATAACAAAATTCTCAAATCTGATTGGTTATCAACTGCCCTTATTTCAGCCGTAATAGGACAGTTTAGTACGACAGTACGCCTCATGCGTAAGTAATTGGACAGTACGCACCACCACGTGCGCGCTTAAATGGCTTGGAATTTCTTGTGTTTTGATTTTAAAAAGAGCTTTATACATCACCAATTTTTGCTAAAGTTATGATTAATTGGTAACAGAACTTCGTGTCGTTCAATTCGGTCTGTAATCATACTCGTGATTAAACAAATCGGACTCCCGCTACTCGGTCGTCCGATTTTGTTAATCATCCGTATGATTACAGACCAAAGTAAATTTATTTTAATATCGATATATGCAAATGGTTCTTATATTTTCTTATACTAAACAACTGTCAATAGCTAGAAGACTGTCCTTAAAGAATTTCTAGTTTTTAAATATCGCCAAGCGGTAATAATTACGGAAACCCATCCTTCGAGATTAATCCGTCCTCACGATTGCACGGGTTAAACATCTGTACTTTGGAAAGGATTTTCCTTGTCTGTTTCCATGGGATACATGTGGAGGGACGTTCGAAATATGAAATATAAAAAGTATCCTTTTAGAAGAGGCCTAAAGCTCCATTCACACCAAAGGTTAAACATGTTTAAAAACATTTTAGCTACCGGTTTAGAAGCGGCTTACTGTACTTTTGTTTGATAGAAAATTTTGTGCAATTACAAAACGTGCTAAATTTTATTTGAATTCTGTGTAAAAGCCTGTGATCCATTTTTCTGTCACTATTTTTCATTTTGTTAAACCCAGTTAGATATGTTTAGTTCGGGTGTGAATGAGGCTTAAGATTCCATTTTAGCCGAGATCTTGTTTCAAGTTGTTAATGGTTGAGACAACTTGTCATGAAACTTTTTTTATATGCTTACATTTGTTAAAAACAAAATTAGTCATTTTCTTCATAACCATTCTCAGTTCCAAATCAATGCCACCCATTTGAGAAGTAGAATATTTATTAAAAACAAGAGATTTTAATGAATTTTTGTGTTAGCTAAAGTAATTGCTTGTATATCGAAACACCTAGTATTTATTTTATATTTATTTAAAAAGCTGACGCTAAGAGGGTCTATTTCATTAATGTAAGAAATTAAAAGTTAGTTAAATAAAACTTAATTTATCCACCACGTTTTTTATGGTTTCTAGTATCAAGATTCTTATAATGCCGATAGAAGACCGTTGGATAGTGTGTTTTGAACACTTCTTAATGCACCATTTGGCATCTCCCATAATACACCTTTTTTGCCCGCAAAATTTTGCATAGGCATTTACTTCAGTTTCTTTTGGGGCGACTATAAAACCCAGGAGAAATAAAAAACTAAGGTTACGGTAAGCAAAATAGGGTAGGGGGGTATGGCAAAACAAGGTGTATCGTGGGAGATGTGCAATTGGAAGTCAATTTACAGTTGCGTCCTGAACAACCTTATAGCCACTGAATGGAAGAGAGGCTGGCAGTGACATTGCTTCCTTGTTTTCACAGACACCTCAGTACACTTAGAATATGCATAAGAACATCATTTATATCTGAAAAGCAGTGAGGTTTCTATCAAAATCAAGTTTACCAGACTCACTTCTGCTCAAGGCTTCAAACACAGTGCTCAACTGCAATAACGCGCATCACCCTGCATTGTAACCAGCTTATCGTGGCGGGGTGGGGGGGGGAGGCTTTGTTTTTAAACGCCGAAGAGAATTGGGGAGACAAGAAAGTCAAAACAATACAGTACTAATAGGTTTGTCTCAAGAGAGAATGCTTAGACCCCTGGGTACAGCCGAGCGCGTTCCTGTTCTCCCTATGCCGCTTTCCCCCTGGGGAAAGCCGATGACAAGTGCGCGAGGAGATCGAGATGAAAAATCCTTCAGGCCCATTATGCTAATGATCGATGCCCTAAAAGTTATACCGAGTGTCTGTTGTCGTCGTTAAAGGTTAAATACAGATAGTTTCCTTTGCAGTTTTGACATGGTTGAATGTATGGGTTTGCTGAACTAAGTGGACTAAGACCTTAAGGTGGGATTTAATAGCTCCTTACTATACATATGGCGGCCACCCTGCATGACACAGGTAGAAAAACGTCGATCACATGGAAAACTTTCAATTATGAGCCTTCATCAAAATCTGTAGTGTTAACCAAGATTCAGGCCTGTGATCACATTATTACCTGGGTGGACATGGGAGGTGAAATTATGAATGGACTGAGACGGCAACAAAGTGTGCCTATATTATGCTGACGTCCCATTTCATCACTTTGTTTCTCTGTATTTCCTGCAATAGTTACAAGTCGCCCCATATAAGAGAATCAATTACAGTCTTGGATTCTGGATTCCACGCCGTCGATTCCGGATTCCAGGTGCTGGATTCCTGAATTTGTCATTGGAATTTGGATCCCGGATTTCAATCGTGAATGTGATTCCGGATTCCTTGAGCTTCATTCCGAGGCCAAAAAAAAAAATCGCAAAGATAACCTTTCGTTGATCCTCAGTTCGCTCCTATCGTCCCATCGCTTCATGCTCAGTCGGGTAATTGATACCCAGTTCTCAGTGGCTGTAAAATTAATCGTAAAAATGGTCGTATAGTAAAAAAGGAAAACGGTCGGAGGACGGGCTTCTGAGTTCGACGTCATCCAACTTTATTTTGTTATGGTGACATACAAGACTCACGTAAATATGACACTTTTCGCGGGAACAAGCCGTTCTATTTATAAATATACCCAGGAAAGGGTTGACTCAAGAAATTATTGGAGATGGAGGCTCCAATTGATGGGCTCCTGTATACAGAAATAGAATAAGGTTAGACGTTTGTTCTTTATCTATGACAGTAAAAACCAAATAACGATTCAAGAAACCATAAGCCAGAATTTGCGTTTGTTTACTTCATGGATTTCGAAAATTGTGATGAGATCTACAGGATGCAGGCTTTTTTCCCGTCAGATCCGATATTATTCATAAAATTCGTGCGGTATGAGCGTTTCTCTATGCGAGGCGCCGCTGTTTTGAAGCGGGTGCCATGACCTATTTTTCATGCGGCCCTCCAATCCGGCCTAGCTTTGATTACCGGTATGTGTGTAGGAAGGCTATGATCATGTGATTTAACATGGCGTGGCAAAACAAGACGCATTTAAAAAATACTTGAGACGCTGTATCTTATTTGGGCTTAAGTGGCCTGTCTATGATCTTGCGCTAATTTGATCAATATTCCTCCTTCCTCCCTCGGAGGGAGGAGGGTTATAATGCACACAGGCAGATGCGTGACAAGCGGCGATGTTAAGTGAAAAAGCCAGCTTTTGCCTGGAGTTTCTAAACATTTTTGCAACTGGTTGTTGCTTGACCTGAACAATAAATTAGTCAAATAACTGATCAAACAACTGAAGCTAATTACAAAAAATAACAACAACACCCTCGTGATGACGACGCGGCCATGGTAACCTCATGGTAACTCACTGGACAATGTAATAGAACAACGCGGCGAGCACTGAAGTTGGCTGCATGACTGGTTTTCCTTTCCCAAGTAAAATTTAATAATTTGAGGCCCGTTGGTTTTCCCCTACCGCTTCTGCTGTGAATGGAATTAAAAAACATGACATTTCCGGCCTACGTCGAGGATATATATTTTTTATCACTTGCTTCTCTTTTCCATAAATTCTTTAAACAAAAGAGGAACTTGAAACTAGCCGAAACGTCACGTGGAATTCGTCAAAGCCGTTTTATGTTCTGAATATCCTGTAAAACGGAAATAATTTGTAAAATGAGTACATTCTACTGCAGAAGTTTGACTAGTCAGGAGCAAAACACAGAAAAAAATAGCACTCATCTGATTGTCTTTTCGTTTTACTGTTTATGGCTAGAATATGACCGGCGCCTCCTCATTTTTTCGAATTAAGACGGAATGTGACTGAGGTTATGTGACTGCCAAAACGGTGAATGGCTCAAGGTAAACACTTTTATATTATTCGGCAATTAATTCGAGGACTAATTAACGAAGAATCAACAAAATCTTAGACGCTTTTATATGTTCTGAAACTTTTATAATATTTATAAAAGGACTATAATTATTACTAAGGAAGATATGGCAGATGTTTCCTGCTTTCGGCCTTCTTAGGAGGATTTACTAGTAACAATTCGCAAAACATTTTCTTCTGAATAGATCCCTCATTTTCTAATTATTATCAAATACATTTTTCAGTTGGTAACAAAAAGAAATCAGACTCTAATTTTAATCTTTGCGTAAAATGGTAGATCTGCCAAAGTATGGAAACAGAAAACACCACCTTGTATCCGGTTGATTTAAGCCAAAACATTTAAAAAGTCTTAATGTATATTTTTGCATTTCCTTTTGTTATTATTTAATTTTGTGGAAATTTTAATAAGAAGTAAATTTAAAAGCAGAAATTAAAATTGTTGGGAAGACAACCACCATGATTATGAGCGCGTTTATTGATCTTTTGGTTGGCATTTCTGCCGTGACAAACCCTATTTCATTTTAAATACGAAAATACAAACCTTGCTCTTCAGGCCAAGTTGAATATGATTAAGCTGTACCCTGCGTACAATTTAAATTCCAGCGAAAATAAAAAGCATCTAAGGAATATATTTATTCAGAAACTGAAGGAGCTAGACATGAAAATAATTTCTTACAATTGGTTTTTGAGACTTTTGGCAAGCCAGACTGAAAGCAATACCAGTACACCAATATACTATTCAGTCCAATAGTTGTCTCCTTTCAGCCCGGTTGACATTCTCTGTTACTGAGCCATTGTTTAGCCAAGCGTCAGTTTGTTTCCGCGCGGTTCTCTCTGACTGTCGCCGGCGTGGTTTTCTTAATTAATTGCTCAAGTTCACAGAATCGACAAGTTTGGTTCCGTTTTAATCCAAAAACAGAAGTTGCGTTTTTTTTTTCATAAGGACATATCTGAAAGCTCTACCCTCGTATCTGAAAGCTCTATTCTCTATTCTGAGAAAAGTTAAGCCACTGGCTACCTATACGTATGGCATGGTTAGCGCGAGGAATTTTAGATAACCTTGGCCCTTCGAATTTTACGAACAACAACTTTCACTTTTTGTTTTTTCAAAACAAAAAATTTAATGAGAAATAATGCTCTCAAAAAACCGACAACCACAACAGGAAAATATTAAAAACCGAAAACCGAAAGCAATTTACTGATGAAACAACAAATTGACCACAATGTACAATAAAATGCAACTTTCCTGATTTGGGTTTTTTTGTTTCTTTTGTTTTTAAATCCTCATGTTTAGTAACTACTGCTTAAAAGCTTTAGTTTACTCTAATGGAACACATTGTTTTATTCATTATCATGTTTAATTCAAATTAAAAGCTGTTTGTTTCTAAGTTCAATAGCTCATGCCGACCTTGGAAACACGTGACTTGGACACATTTGTGACATTTGGAGCACGAAAACGCTTGGACTTTTAAATGTAAGACTTTCGAAGTGATGATGTTAGTAATCTTGGGGTAAATGGAAACGACTGCATATCTTTCGTCATAAATCTAAATTCAGAAGTTTTTAGAATGTGATTGTTCTCTTGTGACGGTTCTCTAAGTCTGAAACTCATGCATGAAACCTACAAATCGTGTCGGAATCTAAAAGTGTTAATTATTATAATATTACCATTTATAGTTCTGACAAAGTGCTCGCCGAGGGAACATTTACATGCACATTCAAAACAGGCAGTCCATACATGTTGTTAAGATTAATAGAACAACACTTTAATTGATAACATTCTATTTTGCATTAATTCTCGCCAAAGTAAAAGAAAGCTATTTAGTTTGTCAGGGATGGTTTACATACATTTGGGGCAATATTTATCATAAAGAATTGTAACAAACCTACAGTTAAAAAAGAACAAATTTGGTTTTTTTTGACGTAACATTACATTTTTAGTGAAAGGAATTGAGTGTAATTCTATTCTTATCGCCAAACCACACCTGCTAGTCTGTTCTACCGCGTATTAAAATGACAAGTGTGGTTTTAAGCCAGAATTGTTTTAATTGTTAGACAGAAAATGAAGTGTTCGCTGATGTCAGTACAAAAATCGAAAATTCTGCCATAAGATAAACAAAAGATACTAGTGTTTTCCATTAATTGGACATCTGCCACAGTTCAAGTCGTGCCCGACAACATAAACGGTAAATCAAACAAAGGGCTCGAAGGATAAATAGCCACAGTTGAAGAAAACGGTTTCTTTTTCGTTTTACGTCCTGGATAGGAGACAAATTTGGGAGGAACTGCTAAACTATGGCTGAAGAGTACAAAGGACATCCGTCGCTGGAGAAGTATGTGAGCCTTTTGGCGCAAAGAGAAACAGGAATAGTGGCTCTGGAAGTGTTGGTTTGTGTAGTACTTCTCCTGGCAGCCCTGCTAGGAAATTCATTGGTGCTTTGGATGGTCTGCAAAAACAAAAACCTACGAACCATTCCCAATCATTTTATTATCTCGCTGGCGTTAAGTGACATCGCGATGGCTACGATCTGCCAGCCGCCATGCCTTACAGTTCTCATAGTTGGAAAACGCACCTATGGAAATTTCGTGTGCCAAATGCAAGGGTATGTGGTCGCGACGTTGGCTTGCGTCTCGCTATTAACTTTAACTCTGGTCGCTGTAAACCGGTACTTTTTGATCGTGCGCCCCAAGAACTATCAGAACATTTTCACGACCGGCCGAACACGGCTTATGATCTTGGCCATTTGGGTTCTCTCTTTGCTTGAGCCACTTCCTTATCTGCTGTCAGGTCACAACTACGTTTACCACGCAGGGAAGTTCTTCTGCTTTCAAGTCGTTGAGGTTGACTTTTTTACGCTGTTGGGTTACATCTTCGTTGTGATTCCCATGTTCGTACTTACACTCTGCTATTACAAAGTTTTCAAAACGCTAAAAGAGCACAAAAAGCGCTTACAGAGCATGCGGGGTCGAAACGACCAGCCGTCCACAGTAAAGATAACTGTCGAGGACATCAAAGTGACCAAGACCCTTTTCATAACTGTGTGTGGTTTTGTCATTTGCTGGACACCGATTTCCATCGTAGATTTCATAGGGTTCGCTCAAGGAAGTTGGAACCTTCCTCGCGAAGCCTACGTTATGTACACATTTTTGGGGCAACTAAGTACCGTGATTAACCCCGTCATATATGGCGTCATGAACAAAACTTTCAGAGAAGAGTACAAGAAGCTTTTCAAATGGCACGGTAACGCAGAAATTACGCAGGATTCCGAGAACACGCCACAGACGCAAGATAGTAAGTGTTCAGTTATTTAGAACAGAACTTTTATACTGAGCCAGTTTCCTTTGTTGACTTTTTAGAAAGTGTGAAATTTATATTAAAAAATGTTAATATTTCATTTGTAACGTACAGGTTCCGATCCATTTCCGCTTAGCAAAGGGATATTTTTAGAACATACGTAACACAAGAGCTAGAACTTTGAAAAACAGATTTATTTAGTTACATTATAAATGACGTGTCTAGCTGTGCAAACGCTTTTTATTAGGTGACCTTTGAGGACTGTATATGCATGTGATGTCATCGGCATTTTGCTTAAGTTACCATATTTGGCTCGTAGAACGCTCTGCTGTAAAAACGACGTGACACGTATTAATGGGTATAAAAAGGGAAATGTGAAAACTGAGCGGATAATAACATAGTTGGTCTTATATTAAAGAATAGGATTTTGGATTCCTGGATATATAGCTAGTTTTTGTTTCCCGAGAGGAGCTAATTAAACTATTTGCAAGTTATGGTTGAATTGTTTTCGTGCTTGCCTTGTATGCATCTGACCTTTTCATTACAATTGGCTTGGTTGCTATCAAATTCATGTGTAAGCTCACATTTGCTTGGTTTACACGTGACGTTACGGCGATCATATGGGCTGTCTGTGCAAAAATGTTTTTCTCCACCGAGAACTTAACTCGATTTTCATTCAAATTCTGCAAAAAAAAAAATTGTATTGATCACCAACATGCGCCCCTTATCACGTGGTTTCGACGCAAAATATGAAGAAAGAAACAGACTAATTGACCTTTTTAGCCTGTATGTTTGGTTTATCCAATTTAGGGCCTGTTTACATGGAGTGGGGGACCCCGGTCCAGTGGGGTTGGTTTCTTTTGTTTTCACGCTCTGGGAGACACAAAACAAAAGAAACCTACCCCACTAGACCGGGGTCCCCCACTCCTTGTAAACAGGGTCTTAGACCACGTGATGTTCTCTACGGAATTTGCCTTTTGTATGCACGTGTTATGCACGTGGATGCACGAGCATAGGACATTTGAAAGAAACAAATCTCTAGGGTACCATCACGTGGTCTGAAATGGGAAAACAAAACATACAAGCTAAAAAGGTCTACTTCGATATGAGTCTCTAAGCCTCAGAACCAAGTATGAATTTTAATATATGGAAAATGTTTTGAAAATTCTCTATAGAAACATCACGTGCTTTGAAAAATTTGCGGGAAGAACAGCCGTCATCAAAAAAGTTGGTTCTACACGTGTACGCAAAATTGGAACGCGTAGGTCCCCTAGAAAAAGAAAAATGAAAATAAAATAATGAAAGACAATCATACTGTTTATCGTGCAGACCTGGGTTGTGCTTCGTATAAGTTTCACTTTCCCAATGTCTTTTGTTGCGGTTGGTCCTGTCATGCAACAACTAGATAATTTGTATATCAAGCTCATTTGCAAACGAAGACGACAGTGCTCTCAAAGTATAGTTGCTTCCTTATCATGGCTAACGAGCAGGAAATTTTTCAGTTACTGAGTACGTATTATCGATCATATTCATACCGGCAGCCGGAATATGCCGTTGTGCCTCGTGACAACGACGGCATGAAAACGACACTGAAAATAAATTTGCGCTATAGCTTCGCTCAATTCGTCAAACGTGGATGGCGAATTAATATTTTCCTGTAGTTGAATTCTGAAGGACCGCATCCAAGTTGAGTTTCAAGAAATCCTAGAAGATTAGTTCGTGGTGACGTGTTGCACTGTGTTCACGTCTTGAATAAAATGTCGCATATTTGGGAGTTTTCGTACGTAAAAGAAATGTACTAAAAGGTTCGGCTGTCAGTAGGCTTGGACGTAAAATTTTCGAGATTTTACTAAAAATTGTTATATATATATATATGCACGTACCGAGCTTTTGCTCGTAACACCGATTGTTTTCGTTTCCATCAAGTTCGTGGTGGTTAACAGTTCAAGCTTTTTAGCTTGTACATTTTGATGATACCCCAGAGAAAACTAGAGGACTGCTCAGTTTTAGTACATATTACGTAATATGCAAGATCTATGAAAAGAGAAAAGGCAAATTCCCTTGAGAAAATTACGTGATCTGAATTTGGAAAACAAAATATATAAGCTAAAAAGCTCTCAGTGAAACTGCGAGCAAGGGGCTGGTAAGCGACGCAGAAATTTTTCATTTGCTTTTAAGTTATAAACTGCTAACAAATATACTATTAATATTTTGAGCGTGTATTTAATATTTCACCTGGAACAAATGTACCTTTAATTTTTTGCTAGGAAAACCAATCTACAAGAATTGCCCGGACAACATTCAGTTTTCTGGTGAAAGTAAAAGGTGACAACAACTTCAATAATTTTATTACATTTTTGTTCAGTAAACAACTCTAATGAAGCCAGGTACATGTCGTCACATGTGACTGGTGTTTAAGTTTTCGACGCGATTGATAATTCATGAGATATACTGAGATGATCAGAGGACCTTGGATGTTTGGAGTTTAACAAAAACAACAACGATAATAATGATGATGATAATAATAATAGTAATAATAATAATAATAATAATAATAATAATAATAATAATAACGCACACAGACTAAGATATTTAGGCATGTCCAAATATGGCCTGTTTACTTCGCGCTGCGATTCATTGACGTAAGGCGTTTGGCAGAGCTCTCCATCTATCGACAATTACATGTATGATGTAATGATTTCCATAATTATCTCTCACTGATTCGTACTCACGTCTTTTTTTTAAGTAATGGAGATGTATGTCCTTTTTTGTTCGATTTCCAATAAGTTGAAAAAGAAAGTAATGTTGACGAGTATCTCCAGCTATGCTGGCCATCTTTACTGATCAATCCCTGATCAGCTGTCTACCCTACATAGAGACACGGATAGCTGCATGCAGGAGTAGAAAAAATACGAAAACAATATACCCTGGTTTCACAAAGCACAAGACCCAATAACCTTTTTCAGAGCCAAACCGCTATTAAATTTATAACACCCAAATTTAGACCAAAGGCGCTCAAAACAAGTGATAACAAAAAAAAACGATGCAGCTTTAAAAATCTTTCTAAGTTTATTTCTTTAATTCATTAGAAGGAAACCACTATTAGGCCATCACCTTTTTTTTCGTTTAGTGTCGAATGCGTTTCCTGTTATATATTGGCTCGGTCGGTCGGATTGAAAAAAAAAAACCCTAAATAAAAAATCACAGGAAGTCTCGGAATAGGAGGCCTGGTACCCAGGCATCATTGCTGTGGAGCCTGGAAACAACAAGATAAGAACCCAAAATCAATATGGCGGAAAAGTTGGTTGATGTTATTGTAAAATTAAGACAACGTGGGAAAAAGGATCAACCACCGAAACTCCTATGCGACATGCAAGCATCCCTCACTTTTCAGCAACTGTTATTACTATCCTCATTTTTCAGATTAAAAGAATTATTTCATGTGAATAATGGTTTAACTACGTCTTCACTTTTTTTTTTGGAAAGTGCCAAAAAGCTGGGTCGGTCGGACGACGCTAAACGGAGAAAAAAAAGTGGATGGCCATAGTAGAAGCATGCATGGGAAATAACATGACAACAAAAGCATCCATCGAAACAAAACATACGTTAAATAATGTCTTTAAATAGAAACTATGCAAAACGGTTTCCTCTGTTACTACTTTTTTTGTCTTTACATATTCTTTTGCCTGCTGCATTCTCTAAAATAAACAACCTAATCAAGGTCACGAAAATAAAATAACGTTTTTGCGAGTTGCTTCTCTTCAGTTATTGTCGAACTTTAACCAGTTAACCATGGCCAGTTAATGTGAATGAAATGTGAACTAATCATCACTTAATGGCGTTAGTTCTCCCCCACCCTTACCTCTGGCTTCATCTATGCGTTTACCTCAAATCCATTAGTCTGACGGCGTTCATTGAGGCCACGTTCACACGACACTGGGCGAACTTTTAACCGGTTGAAAATTCGTACGCTTAGGTGTTCACACGCCGGCAACCACCCTAACCATACGAAAAAATTTTGACGCCTAGTCGTTTAGATTTTCGTGTAAACAAAGCGAAAATATTGAACGATCCAGTGTGAACCAAGTGTCCGGTCAAATTTTTCAGCCGGTCGAAAATTCGTTCGGTGCTCAGTATATGTGTGAACGTAGCTTTGGGATTCTTTGCTTCCGTTTAAAAGATGTTTAATAGTGACGAAGTGAGAACTTCAGATATGGAAGTTAAAATACCAGATTATAGACGATACGTCTTTTCATTGTACCACTAAATTGGCAACGCATTTTTTAGAAGGCATTGCAATACAAAGCTTAATAGCGGCCTTAATCCGGATTATGTCAGGCAATCTTAAATGATACGTCCAAACGCGGACCTTAAAACTAACTTAAATACAGTACATTCAAATTCTCAATAATATTTCTTAATTTAACATTTTTTGAGTACTTTGTCATATTTCTTTCAATATCTGCAGCCTTGCTCAGCAGTGATTTTCTAGTTCTATATGCGTGCAATTATCGTTGTCGTCGTGCCAAACATCAGACTTTCGTGGATGAATGTTAATGCGCAACCCAGTTTTGCTTCGCAACATGAGAACAGTGAGCAAATCCTCCATTGGGACAATTTGGTCCGGTCTGACTTTGAGGTTAAATCTGTGAAGTACGTTGAAATAGCAGAGAATAAATAAATATAGAATAATTTGGGTGTTACACTTGCATATCGAATCAACGGAAAAAGAGGTCATGCCACGTTATCAATTCCATATATTTTTTTTATAAAAGCAAAGCTGAAATTACAACTAAGTATTCTCAGTCATCTTGTGTCAAATTTAGTCTATCAAATAATTCCATCAAAGGGAAAACAAAGTATGATCAGTTTTTTTGTCATTTTACGACATTTTTGCGGTGACCTTGCGCAAATGCCTTTTTCTTTTCCGACCTCCAAAGGCGAACATCGCTCTTAAGCGCTTGGCCTTCTGGTGAGGTTTCTGCACATTCTTGCCGCTAAACGAATGACTCGATAGGATCATCACTGGGACCATAGAGCTGAATCGCATGATCGCATGAGACACTGACACTGATATGGTTTGGGTATTACCGTAAATGATCGATTAAGCGCCGCGGCGCTTATTTCATTTTCCCTGATATGGGTGCGGCGCTTATACGAGGGCGGCGCTTATTTCATCTACGGGTAAAACACTGAGGGGAATAAATATAGAGAGAATTAAGTGAGGGGTGCATAATTAAGTCTAAAATATGTACACCTAGAACTGTTACATGAACCGGGTTTCAAGAGGTTCCCTACATTAAAACTTTAGAGCTCACGAGTTGGTCAAGTTCTTATTTCTCAAGCGATATGGTTTCCACATCTCTTTATATCAAGCACCGTATCAAAGGAGGGGCGTCAATTTGTAAATACCCAAATTAGCGTCGCGGCGCTTATTAAATTGTTTTCGGAATAGGTGCGGCGCTTATTCGAGAGCGGCGCTTAATCGGTCATTTACCGTAGTTTATTAACATAAGCTCTCTCCAAAGAACAAAAATGACTAACCGTTGAAGAATCATCGCCAGGGTTATCTTAATTTCCGCCATACCGAAGTACTGTCCTATGCAGTTCCTAAAAAAAAACAGAGACTTTTTTTTACTGAGTTAACTTACAATATGGACTAACTAGCTATGCATAAAGATAAGTCACATTTGGTTTATTGCGACTCAGACAAAGTTATATAAGTACCTTAGTCCTGATGAAAATGGAATAAACGAGTGCGACGGCCTGCCTTTTGATCTTTCTTCTGTAAATCTTAACGGATCAAACACCTAAAAAATGTACGTATTTGGTGTTAGTAAAATCCAACTAGTGGTCTATTATCAATGCTGCGTTCTGATTGGTTGAGCTACTACTAGGCTATATGTTATAGCCCACTAGTACCGAAAAGCGGGCTTTTGGCGGCAAAAAAGGATTAAAGTCTAGCTTTAACTAGCCAATTTTTTTTTATTCTCAATATTTTTGACCAACTAGTTGGATTTTACTAAAACAATTGTTCCTCTCGCCCTCATGGCCTCTGAGTCAATAGCCCATTCGGGCTCGAGGAATAATTGTTAATTATCTAATGAGTATATAAGTGCTGGCCCGAAAAACTATTATCGACTCGTTCTTATCTTTTTGCACACGTAGTATCCGATGAGGAAATGACTTTTTTCGATACACCTTTTTAGAGCAGTAATATACCAAAACATTGAAATTTCGTAAATTTGCATCAAGAAGCACAGTCGAGCAAAGGTGAAAGGTTAATATGCAAAAGGATATAACTAACACTGCTAATTGACCTAATTTCATGAGTTGATTAGCACAAACGAAAATGTTGTAATGTTATTGGGCTTTCATTTTAAACTAGATAAACTCTAATTATAAATTTTGCAGATCTTTTATTTTTCTGCACAAGACCTTGTGACAAACCTACATGTCTTCTTTACTATTACTATGGCTTTAATTTGTCATTCGCTGATATGAAGAACGCAAAATAAACCAACAGTTTGGGCTTACCGCACTGGCTTTCAATTGTCGAGATACATCTCTTTAGTATGACCCTCAACCCTCGGGACCCTCGACCCTCGACATAGAAACCTGACAACCCTCGATCCTAGGCCCTAAACTCTTTTAAATTTGGTCTTTGTAGTTATTGGTTATGATTTCGTAGTAATCTTACCTCAGGATTTTCCCAGACATGAGGGTTACGATGAAGAGCAAATATATTAACGTACAAAAAGGTACCTGCAGGGAGACAAAAAGATACTCACTTTGAGATTCTATTCAGGAAATTTACGGCCAACTATTAAAATAAAGACTTGTATTTTTACAACTAAACGTCAAGATAAAGAGTTTTTAAAAGTTTGTAAGTCTTATGCGGTAGAAGCATGTGCGTGGCAATTGTTTTTGAACAATGAAACTTAATTATGATCACTGAGTGTTCTTAAAGGCGCTGTAGTGCCACGGTTGTCCAGGTTATTGTTTTTGTTAACCTGTGTTCAACGCCAATTACGCTTTCTTATTCGCTAAGGATCTTGAGAAATTACTTGTGAATCACTTTGTACACAATCCCAGCTTCTTGTCAAACAAACAAGTCTCCCAAGCATTGTGTTAAACGTTACAAATAATAAAAATCTTAAACTTTGAATAACTGTTAGGCAGACAAGTTTTTAAGTTTTCCCATCCCTTTTCTTTTAACGTTTTGATCGGTTATTTTCATGTTTCACTCAATTTGGTGGCAGCTACCTCCGCTTGAATTTTGACACAACGCCGTAAATATCAATTACAACTACGTAATCAAAAGCCAAAGGTTAGATAAAATGATTAAAGAATTAATGAATAAAAAATACCTTTGGGAACTGTCCTGCCTTGTACATTGTAACTTTTGTCCGATGAACGGCAGATTATAGGAACAGGCGAGTATAATCGCATTGCTTCGTTGATGCACAACTTCAAGTATGGGGCATTCTGCAGGTCATTCCTATATTAAAGGAAAAATAGTAAAAAAATTAAAGTTTGAAGGTAACCTTGTATTTTTATGACTCCATACAAAAAATAATGCAAAACCAAATTGCAATTATAAAGTAATGCCTACAAAATATAAACTGTTTACGATCGAGCTTTCGAGATTAACCAAATTGAAAATTCGACGTAAGTATTCTCAGTAAATCATTCCTCTTAACTTTCCCGGGAGACTCAACACTTCACTCAGTATAGAAAGTCTTCTACAGTAAGCTTTCCTATGGAATACGGGACTTGCGAGTTATTTGGTCACAGGGATTTTAGCTTAAGACAGGTTTTTCTCACAAACTTTCTTGACCTTGTTACTTGATCGTAACACCCATTTTTCACGGAAGGGTGGGGGGGTGGGGGAAGGGGGAGGAGGGCTTTGTGAAAGATTGCCTTATTAAAAGGACAAGGGCGATACTTGAAAAAGTAGAGTTGAGCCCTATACTAAAGAAGACCAATCTGGGCATGTTCCTAAATTAAAGACGTCTATTTTAGTACAAACTGGAACCTCTCAACTCATGTGTGGAAGTATGGGATAAGAAGATAAAAACGGTCGGGATTATGGAATAATTGAGGGAAAATCGAGATTTCGCGAATAAAGAATCCCGTTGGCGGCCATCGGTATGGTGAAGCTCCTGCATGGGTCACTGCTTTGTAAACATGACGGACAACAGGCCTACCGGTTGATAATTATATAGTATCGAAGAAGCTTAGTTCCATGGCGTTGGAAAAAGTACAATATCCCTCAATACTCCTCCAAATGTTTGCAAATTGCTGTGATGCAAAAAAATGCAGTTTTATGTGTTGCGCGCATGACTATACGTAAACTTCGCTTACTCAGTAGTACTTGGCCTTACCACTGTAGCTCCTTGTTTTGTTTAAATATGCTATCAATTTCTTCTTGGCACTTTTTCTGATGTTCTGGATGAAGCGCTAAACAGTATAAAATCCAACAGATTGCTGCAAATAATTAATAATAATGTAAAAATATATCAATGTTCTTCCAATCTGTAATCTCAAATAGAAGAAGCATGTCCCTTCAGATTGGTGGTAGTAAAACCATTTCCTCTTTCCCACTCATTTGGATAACGTCATAGCAGGCGATTTGTTTTGAAGCATTTTACAAGTTTTAACTCGGAAAAAAAATGAAAACTATCGTTAGTTTTGAAACCTAAAAAGAGCTTTTTATAGTGTCTTCGACACAACCATCTAGTGGTCGATTCATCCAAACATTTTATAAAGTGGCTGATGCACGTGAAAAGGAAAGAGAATCGGACCTAACGGTGGACTTCTCACAGAAAAACCTTGTTCATCACAGAGCATCTTCTCCTTCCCCTGGCCCCTCGCCCATGTTTTTGCCATCAGTGCCTGGCTTGCAGCCGTAACCAGTTTCCCGCCATTTTTAAAACAGTAAAAGCAAGCGACAATCAAGGAATTTTTGATTACTGTAATTTTTCCAAAGTGTTGACGCCAGCAAAATTACTATTAAGGACAGAAAAATATTTATAAAATAAGAGATTGTTACCACTCGTGACTGTGTCCAGGCCTGCAAACATGAAAGTTCTGACTTCTGCTCGAACCTCCTCGTCTGTTAAACTGTGTTCGTTGTCGCGCTAGAAAATGCAAAGAAGATAATAAACTTTTGATGCTAGACGAACGTTAATTTATAATTTTAGACCTCTACGGAGAGATAGAGAGAGGTGGATTTCGACGTCCACGGTTTCAATCTCTTGTTTTTTAAATTGTACTTACATACAGTTAGACTGTATGAGATTGCCTTAATTTTCGCAACGCATACTTACTAGTTTTTCCTGATGAGAAACATTTGAGATTGAAACTAAGGAGAGGCAGAGGGTTGTAAATTCAAGGTTTTCAAACTGAAACAAACAAAAGGCGACAAATACCGGACTCGTACCTTTGCCTCCAGCAAGACGTCAAGGAAGTCGAAATGATCTTGCCTTCTTATTTTTTCTCTCTCTGGCTGAAAAACATGAACGCAACAAATGACAGGCAAATGATCAGTTGATGCAATTCACACATTCATTAGGCCTATAGCGGGCTAATTCATCAATCACCCCAGCTATTCAGTTAAGCGGGGCCAATTATTAGCGAAGAAGTGCATTGTGGAAAATCAAGTGAGCTTTTATGGAGTTTTAAGTCTGATATACCTGTTCCGAAAGGTTCTGCTTCCTTTTCCTGATAATCTCGTCCGCTTTACGGGCCACGATACTGGAATTGCGTTTGAAATTTATTCCTGCTGGAGTCAGGTTATAGATGAAATCAAACTGATACAATGGATTTCTACAAATAATAAGAAGAAATGAAGGAAAGGAAAGAGTAAGCGACACTCTTAAGAAACTTTTAGTTTTACAGTGTTTTACTTGCAGAAAGGGAATAACATCCCGTTCAGGAACTAAGAGAGGCTCAACAAGGCTCACTGGAAAATCTGGACCATTTAAAGAGATAATGAAATGTCTAATTTAAATCGTGAATTCACAGACTTTTTATAAGAGTGAAAATCTACCCTACTTTTGCACAAGGAATACAAAATGTCTGTAGAATCATTTTCGCATAGACATTTTAAAATGTTTTTTTATATCTTTACTTCTAGAATGTTTATAAAATGACTGCAAATTTCGGAAAGACAGGCGGCAGTGTATGTGAAAATTTCCGACAAAAAAAAACTTAACCGAAGTAGAGGCAGCTACAGTTAGGGTGTCTATGGAAACATTTCTACGAAGAACTATAAATAATGATGTAGACATAGATTGAGCGAATACTTTGATAATCAGTTTTTAGTATTTTTTTTAGATTTAATCATGATCGTCCCATCTAAGCTCACAGCTATTACTTACGAAAACCTGTCCATGATTGCCTGAGTATTTTCATGAATCGCGGTCATAAACGCGTCGGGCGTGCTGCGACGAAGAAAAAAAAAATATGATGAATATCTGCCGCAATTTGTGGCGTCTAACTGCTTCTTTCTGCATGCGTGTAAAGTGGCACGATAGAAATTTTTTTACAAATACAAATACTTAAAAGTATTTGTATTTGTAAATTGTTTACCCACAGAGCACTTAGAAGTTCTTATAAGAGCTCGTTGATATGTGTCCGTGCGTTCCAGGTCGACCTGGAATATGGAAGTGTTGGTTTTTTAAGGAGAGGGGGAAATCGGAGTACCTGGAGAAAAACCTCTCCGTGCAAAGGGCGAGAACCAACAACAAACTCAACCCACATATGGCGTCATATGCGCGAATAGAACCCCGGCCACATTGGTGGGAGGCAAGTGCTCTCACCACTGCGCTACCCTCGCTCCACTTGTATCGCTCTTTACTAAAACACGTACTTCAGAGTGTACGCCTGTGGACTCTAATACTCCAGGAGATGCATAATTAACGAATAACAAACCCAACATTTCCACTGGATGCCGGGTAGGGAGGTAGATGCACCCCAAGGCCTCCGGTCCTTTTTTTATTTTTCCAGATCTGCGGCCGCTGAGAAAAAGGTAGGGATACTTATCTTTTGACTTGGCAGTCACTCCAATAGCTGAAAGTGCACTTCAAAATGGAGTCCAGCGTCAACAATCCAATGTCTTGAAACAGCTCAATCTCTCCATCTGGGGAGGACGACCATTTCCCCTGAAAATATGTTCAAGAAATTACCCGCATTACAACCTAATTCAGAAAGGGCATTCTCTTTGAAGATACTAGGTAGGTAGATAGGTAGGCAACACTTTATTTAAAAAAAAGATTCAAATCACGGGAGAAACACGCTGGCGCCACATGTCTAGTATAAGAATTTTGTTGAATTTTGCGGGAAAAAGTGGAAATCTTTGAGATTCTCAGAAAACGCGACGCACTTTGAATTTAAGACACCTGAGCAGTTAGATCGATCGGTAGAATGTTATAACCCTCTGTAATTATGGTTGTGGAATATTGTGATTACATTTGCGCAGTTCTTACCAAAAGAACTTCTGCTGATTGCTGAAAGACCTTCATGTAGGATTTGATTGTTTCGATGTGGAAAGCAGGTGTTAAGATCTTTCTTGTACTTTTCCATTTTGCGCCATTTTGGAGACCAAGGCCTACGCCTAGAAACAACAACAACAACAACAAATAAAAAATGCAATGATAAAAGTAACTGATAAGGTAATAATAATAATAATAATAATAATAATGATGATGATGATGATGAAGGTCCTCTAAGGATGATCTGTCTTCGCATAACCAGTCCGGCTATTTCGTCTTCGTATAATGGTGAGATCTTTCGATATTTCCTGCTGTTCTAGACTGCGCATGCCTTGTCAATTTCCTTCTGTAGACCTAAAGCGCTTGTACGACCACCAATTGCCGAAGCCCTTTGAATACCCAAAAAACGAGAAGTCCAAAGACTACTGCAAAGCTTATCTTAACAACGCATACTGCTTTTACATAATAGTATTCCGGTTGGCCAAACCACTCTTTTTTAGGTTTACAGATGTTAAAGGTCAAATGAACCAAAAAATTGAAATATTTTCTTTTGTCGCTTTACCTTCACCAAACACTAAAAAGAAGCATCCTAAGTGAGATTTGGGCAAAGATTTTTCTTCCTAAGCCTTTATAGAAAGATAAAGTATCAAAATCCGAGCATTTCCGAAGACTTCACGAAAACGTTTCTGAAATGGCCGCGTGATAGACTGGAGACTACGTGACGTCAATGTTGGTCTTCCAGGGTGGAAAAACGTTCTGCGCAAGCTTCTGCGCATCCCTTATCGCCTGCGTTTGTTTGTCTCGTTCTGTGAGAGTTCTAACTGAGACTGAATGAAATACACGAGGTGCGAACGTTTGCTCCTTGTAAAGGTTTTTTTTTTTGTTCAAGTTGTTGTTTTTTCGTCACTTGAAAATTACTTTGGATTCAGAACAACCAATGTTAGAGTAAAAACATATCATTCCGTCAGTCTGGGGTGGAATAAAACGTTTTGAACATTTCCAGACAGGTTTGTATTTTTCTGATAATTGTGCATTTGATTTGTGAGTTGATTTTGTGTCCAGTGCTTCGCCTTCTTTCGCCGGATTGAATGAAAACCTGCTTTTATTTTGTTATTAGTAGTTATGGTTACCTTTTTTACATGCCCAGATTTATTTACTTTTGCAGAACCAGCTTTATCCTTGTCTTCAGTCAAAGAACCGTAACGGCTAACGCATGCGAGTGAACAACCTTGTGCGCTTTGAGCTTTTAAGTTTTAAAAACTTTCTCGGAACTTTAGAAGGCCATCAAGCTTACTCGAGAAGAAAAGACCACTTCGATCATTTTTCTGTTGCTCAAGTAATAATAATAATAGTCAGAGTTTTTTTCCTTTAGTTTTTTCAGTTTTAATTACATAGTTTTGTTATCTTTCTGTACGCAAATTTTCCTTTCACTCGCTGTGAAGTAGCGGAGAACGACAACTGCCGGCAGTGACTCCAAAACAATCGACTCTTTGCCCGTAAACAATTGCTGGAGCTCCTTATGTGCAGTTTTCTGTATTTTCTAATGATTCAGTTTGCTGAGTTTTATTTGCTTGAATGAAGACCCTCGCATGGACCAGTTATTAAAAGTAGCTAATCTAGCTAAGTAGTCGGAATCATGGCTTGGCTGCGAAGCTTGCAACGGATCTTTTACTTTTAAGATCTTAAGGTAGGTTGTTTCCGTACAGAAAATTCACTTCTTCTTTGTCAGCAGGTATAAGACCCTTAACCCTTATGTTTTTTTTAATGAAAATTTGTTGTTTTGCAACCTTATTGAAGCTTTTTTAGTTCACTTAAGCTGAATTTTATGAATGATGGAATTGTTCTTTGCTTGTCGCATCTCTTTGCCAGCTTAAACTGGCGTCTATGGTCCTTAAAGTGACCTCAATCAGTAATTAAATCTTATACATAACTGGAAAGAAGTTTTTGCAATAATGTAACTTTAACTTTGTTTGAAGGAAATTTTACTTACACGTAGGTTTTTGACAGGTGTTATGCATGTTCAACTTGACAACACAAAGCAAAATTAATCTGCGCGAAACGATCAAGTTGAAAAAACTATGGTTGCTTTGAAACCGATCTTGGGGAAGATTTACGAGATAATGATGAACTCTTTTTCTGCCCACATATCAACGCCAAAACTGCTACATTGAGGATTTTGTTTATATTTTAGTGATCTGCGAAGCTAGAAGTGTCCGATCGAGCGTGGGTTTTAAAATATCAGCTCGAGTGCGACAAAGTTCAGTGTCTTCAAACACATTGTGGACAAACTTGAATTTTTTGGGGGCAGATTATTATACAAAGATATTTTGTTTTTATGTCCACGGTGGAGCTCCGGACCTTATATATCCAGGAACCTCCTTATATGAACACATTTTGTGAATACGTCTTGAAAAAAATCGGACTTACGCTCGCACATTTCCAGTACAACTCAAGGAAATTAGTAAATGTCGTTAAAGTCCGTTTTACTATGATGTATTCTTCGAGAAAATTAAATAATAAGAAGGTTATAACCACAGCTTGCAACTTTTGAAGACAAATTGCCTGTTCTTTCCAGGTTTATGGCCGCACAAACCACTTTTGCGCCAAGTGGACTCGAAAAACTCTGTTTTGAATTTCCCGCGTTTTTTCACCTGACCAACATTGACGTCACAAGCTGTTTTTTCCGACAATTTTTCCGACCGCTCTACGAAGATCAGGGCCAAAAGATAGCAATTTTTAATTGCAAATATCTCGGAGATACTTGCTTCAATTGAGCTGAAACTTCATAGTATGTTTATTTGGTTCATATTAAACACATTTCACTAGAATTGAACTAAAATAAAAAAGGTCGAAATTTTGGTTCATTTGACCTTTAAATAATATCTGTAACATCATTTCGTTTTTTGGTTCTTAATATTTTAGCTGATTAAATCTCTTTTCTAGAGATCCAACGTTGACAACCAGCAGGATCTTTGTCCACGGTTTTTGCAGTTTTAAGCAATTACTTTTTGATATTTTGCAGCATTTCAAATTTCAAATTTTCATTTTCATATCAGTATTTCATATTTAGCCTTAAGTGGAAAGCCTTTGATCTTCTCTACAAGATGAGGTATATTTTATAAATAATTACTTTACATCACTTTAACCACAAGCTTTACTTTTATTCCCGAAAAAAAATAGAAAAACATACATTTTCACTCAAAAATGGCATGACCACCTGCTACTTATGACGTCATATCTCGTACCCATAGTAACTGACCATCACTAAACTTGTCTCAAAATGCGCGTGAAGGATAAACGAACAGCTACAGAAAACATCAGGTGCTGATGTTTTATCGTCTAGGAAAAAAAATCAGAAAAACCTTAGGGGAGTGGCACCCCCTCCCTCCTGCTGTCCGAGGGTTAATATAATGACACTTAAAATGACAAAATATTAAAAGACTTGAGGCTGCTAAGCTTAGTATATTTTTGCATCCTATTGTTACCTAAAAATGGTGAAAGGAGGCGACAAACTGATTTTTCTTTAAAAGTGCTTTGTAGCAATGGTTTCACTGTATCAGGATGGCAGAGGACCACCGCTGACTTAGTGGGTCCAAACCAAACTCTGTAAGCTGTTTTGTATTGCTTTGTACACTTTAAGTGAAACTGGAGACCGCGTCCATCAAAGGTAGCCTGAAATCAATAAAGGAAAAGTAATCATGGTTAGTGTTTAATAGAATGATGCATAGGCCCCGTTTATACGAATCCGGTGTTTTTTGAAACCGCATATTTTTGTGAGTGTATGTGTCTGTGTGCGTCCACACGAAACCAGTGAATCCGCTCACCGGACCTCTCTCCAGATTCGCCAGTTCCACGTGTGCACAATTGAAACCCTGTTCGAATTAAATGAACTAAAAAATGCTGTTTCTGCCTGTCTGGATTCGTCGTGTGGACGGGACCATAGTATCTCGGGTAGACTTTTCTGTTTGTTTTCCTGCTCGAGTTCACTTTGTGCCTTCCGAATGCACAAGCTGAACGACGGTGAACGTCTGCAACACGCTGTATCACGGGTGACTTGTTTGTAGGGCATAAACTTCACGGCATACCTTTCTAGACCTGCACTATTTACAGGGTCTGGAAGGTTATTTTCGGGATCCAGGAAAATGCAAAATATTTTAACGGGAAACAGGATTTTACTGCAACACGGGAAGCGAGATTCACAAATATTTGGACAGGGGATGCGGGATTTTTACCCTTCCGTCGGGAATTCGGGAAATCGTCACGAACTAAAATGTACTTTCCAGTGGGAAAAGCGGATCAACCAGGCGAGCATTCAGTGGTGTCTCCAAGCCAAGCAAACGAAAGAGTGACCTGGAACAGGCTACAACTAGATAAACATTGACCAGGCTCCGAGATAGACGAGCCCGCGGAATTGAGAAAGCGCGACACTTTCGCGTCTTCCCCACTATATGAGAGCCTGGAACAGGCTAATCTAGTTGAAACTGTCCAGACAAGCAAATAGAAGCCCCGCTGTCTCAACCGAATGCCGGGAAAGTGCGCTCTTGATTCTTGATGCCCTCACTTGCCCAAGCTCTTTACATTTATTGTAAATCTCGAAGGACTTCTCATTGCATCACTTTAACTGAGTTTAGATATGGCAAAATAGTCATAGTTTTGATGCACCTCTTTCTTGCGGCCACAGGCGAGTCTTTTAGCGCCAGCAAGCCTGTTCCATCGTTCAGCGTTCAGCGTTCAAAGGAAATAAAAGGAAAATGAAATGGAAACGGAAATTGAAAATGGAAGGGGTGAGGGTAGGGACAGAGGGGGAAGAAACCCTCCTCTCTCCCTCTTCCTTTCTTCCACTTTTCCTCTCTTTTCCCCTCTGCTCTCTATACCTCACGCCACTCTCCACTAACTGAACTTCTTGGACAGGCAAGCCCCACAAGCAACGCTAATTAATTTTCCGCTACGTAACGAACATAAAGAGCAGTAAACTGGGGGATTCCAGAAGCAGTATTAAAGGTCCAAGCGTTAGCTAAAACCACAAGGAGTAATGACCTAAGAGAAAACCCCGAGGTCACGATTGCTAGAGTGCAAATGCAGGTATTGGCGTTGAAATTTGTCCTTTATGAGAACACAAGATGCTTTTCTGACTATGAGTTTGACTCACTTATCCATGAAAACAGGATGCTCCAAGGTACTAGTTACTTTTTGATATCAGTGCGCACAAGTGCAGGACGACCTATCATGCTGTCATATCGTGCTCTTTCGTCATTTTGAGGAATGAAAAGCTATTTCTGTTGTGCAATGGCCTTAAGATGTGCCAGGAGCCGATTACTAATCGGCTCCTGGATGTGCATAAATTCCAAACATATATGATATTTATATCAATTAATGGGGCCGATATACATCTTTCTTTAATTAGCCTTTGAATGAATTTTTCTAAGCGATGAAAAAAAGCGGGACACGGGATGTTCCTGAAAAAGGACCGGGAATGCGGCGGGATCAGGACCCCCTCCTCCACCCCCACCCCCGCCCCCGCCCCCTTCCAGACCCTGTTTTAGGGCAGATGAGGACATAACGTCGGTGAGACTATCGCGTACACCTACTTTAGCTCTAACGCGGGGAAGTACTAAAACAGCGATGTCAATTTTAATGGACATACTGTGCTTTTCGGGTCGCGACTCTTCTTTTCAGTTACTGCACGTATTCATTTGCCCTTCAGACAGGTATTCTATAAATGTAGCGGTCGTCATATAAACGGAATCTTTCATATTCTTATCTGGAACTTTATTTAGCTTTTGACTTTCCTCTGGAATGTAAAGAACGCAGTCTTATCTGGACTGGTTAATTTAAGGCAACTGAAGCCAACGCAGGCAAAACAGAGTGTACGATAAAGAGAAATAGAGTCACGTACACATTGCAAGGATACCAAACTTAATACAGAGAGAGAAATGCTTTCACCTTCCATAGTAATTAAATTATAATAATGATATTAATTTTACTTGCAACACTGTATTATTTCAGTAGTACACACCGGAGAATTAGGCATTCTGACGTGCAAGGCTAAAAAAAGCATATTGCCATAAGAATCTTTCATCTCCATCTTTAGATCTTAGATTAACCTGAGGGATGTGTCGCTTACCCAAGCTGGTAGCGCGTGCGCATTAATTTCTACTGGTGCGCACTGAGTCTATGGTATGCCTGTTGTATGCAAGGAACTCGGCTTATTCGCTTTCTTGTTGTTCCAAGTAAATGTGTTGCAAATTATCGCTAGTGTAACGATATCGTTACCCAAACCGTGCTTGAAATGATACATTGCTGACGACGTACATGTAGAATGATCATCCTCAAAACAGGTTTAATTTCCTCAATTATGGTTATTTCAAAAAACGATAAACTGGCCTACATGATCTTGCCAATAATCTGTGTTAATGCTAATAAGGTGAAAAATGGAATGTAAATCCTTGTCTATGGAAAGTGCCCCTTCACTTTATTAGCGAAAGTTTGCACGTAATATAACTTCAATTCGGTCGTTTTTTGACAGTTCTTTGAGTATCATTAAGGACATGTCTGGTGAGAAAGGGATTATAAATACCTTTATTACTGACCGTGTATCTAAAGCTTTAAATTTGGAGTGTATAGAATTACTCAAAGTTCAAGCCTTCAAGTCTAAAGATGTCTTATTTAACAGCTATATTAAATACAAGGAGGACAAAAGACTAAAGGTTTATGGACAATGGAAGTAAGGATAAAGGGCAAACAATTAATATTGACAATCAAAAATTATGTTTAGGCTAATTGTTGTCTTTGTTGTGCAATGAGTTCACTCTGATATAATCCGGCATTAAAAAGAATTAAAACTGGGACCTAAGCGCATACAAAAGCAACACCAAAACATTTTCGCCCTCTAGGATTTGAGCTCATCAATGGCATGAAAAAAGGGCATGTAGATTGGGCTTTGCCGGCACATAGGAAAGCATTTCTGAGGTGAGTTGAGCTGACCAGAAATGCTCTACACCCATCGCTCGAGTGGGGGATACTTCCATGTACGGGATAGATAGGGTATGGTTTTTGAAGGCCTAAAACCTTAAATAGCCGGGCAACATTTTTGCCCTTGTTGACATTATGTTCCTGGTGTGATCCATAGCTAGGGTACCTGAATTGTATCTTCCGCTAAAATTCAAGTGTTTTAAACGCCCAGCTGGATAAGAAACAAGCATCTGTTAAACTGAAGGATCTATCCCTAAGAGTATTAGAATAGCGATTCTGAATGAAGGTTTATGTATTGCAATTTAATTGTTAGTTTTTGTTTTCCTGAAGAGGGAGTAATTTTTCGGGTTTGGGCCTTAAATTGGCTGCAAATTTTTGTTTGTCTTATCCTTAAATTTGGTCATGGTTTATGATCGTGGGCGACACAAGCCTATCCGTTATTTATAGGAGTAAACTCCCCCCCCTCCCCCCATAACCCGTCAATACATTATGAAGTCTATGAACAATTCTGTATTCAACCAGTTTATTAGAATGTGGTTAAACAGGATCAATTTTTGAAGCAAGGACCAGCTTACAAAAAAAGAGCACCGGATCCTAATGACGGATCTAATCAGCAGTGAGTGAAGATCTAAAACAAAAGAAGCAAGGCTGATTATACAGTCGGGAATATATATACATGTATTCCCGACTGTATAAACAGCCTCGCTTCTTTTGTTTTATGGTTAAACAGGACATGGAATTTTTTTGAGCCTGCTATCTCCCTTAAGGCACCTTTTTTACTAATCCCTCGGACCTTTTCCTTCGCCCTCTACAGTTCATAGTTACATGGCTTTAAAATTAAGGAAGCTTTACGGCTGCCCCAATTTGAGCTTTAACTTCCCAGTTTTTTCTTCGATTTAAGAAAATGGCTTTCGAAAATGGCTTTCGAAAATGGCTTTCTTTTGAACTGACTGTGGAACTTACTCTCAAGCGCGTATATTTAGTTTCACGACGTCCGACACCCGAGAGGATTAAAAATAGATGACCTCGGGATTTTTATAAGTGATAAAGTTTTTCCGCGTCAGTATCAGCGAAAATGTAAATGTTTTGCTTGTCTTTTCAGTCGATTTCAGCCTTTTCAGCACTTCCTTCATTTCTCGAGGGGACTACTCTCTCTGATATCCTATGCAGGGAGGCTCCACCCGAAAGGGGCAAGTTTATTCAGATGCTTCTGGTAAGGCTAGAAGTTGAGTGTATGAAAGGGCTAAGCGCTGGCATTTCAGAGGCCTTTAATTACAATATTTCCACTCAGACGCAAGTTTTGGCCGTATGAATTTTTATTATTTATAAAAAAAGGCGCCTTTTTGTTTTAGTGATTTATTGATAGGTTTTGGGTATTTTAATACAAACTGTACAGAAAGCGTATTTTCTGTTAAGGGTAAGGTATGTGGAGTCCTCCCCCTCCCCCGCCCCCGCGCTTTCACCTCTGAGAAACGTTTTTATACGAATGGGAAACATGGACAAAGTAATCAACAGGAAACGTGGCCAAAGGTCAAAAATGTGACAGATTAATAATGCTAAAAATTGACCTAAAACTTCCCGAGGATGAAAGGAAGAGATAACAGAAATATCTGCTTGTTTTTTTGGTTATTTGTTTTGTATTATTTTCAGTTTTTTTCCTGTTTGCAATTAACCTCTTAACACCCGCACGTACATACTGAAAAAAATCCAATAACAAGAATTAAAAAAACAAAAACAAAATAATACAACAAGAATGAGAACACTTTCTGACTCTTCTATAATCTCAATTTAAATAAACTGTAAATTTACCAATATCTTCCATTTTTAACTTATTTTTCTGTCTTTCATTTCTTCTGCCTTTCTAAGAATTCGAGAGCGTCAGCCGGCTACTCGTATACGCGCGAGCAATTAAGAAATTACGGCGGTGGCGAAGAGTCTGTGTGGCATGCGCGTATGCGAGTGCACGAACGGAAAAGGTAACTAATCATGTGCTTTCAAAGTATTGATTGATCTAATCGGAAGCAGACTTATGCTGGTGCACATGCTTCATTAGGTGCATTTCCTGTGCAGGTAGAATAATGGAACAATTCGCAATCTCTTCGTTTAAGCATCGATTGTTTCAAATAAATGAGCTTGTGCGATACTTATTAGTTAAACAGTATATCCATGATGATCTTATTATAATATCTTAATGTTTACCACGATTTTCAATGTTTCGAATTCTAACCATGTGCTCTAACCGAGGACGGACCTTGTTTGCGTTGTTCTATGATTCGGGTTAAGTACGCACACGTACTTAACGCTTGTGGAGACAAATGATCAAGACATCATGCAGTCGACATAGCGGGCTGGAAACTATGATTATTAAAATTCGTAAATGCATGTTGCTCGTTTACACATCACCTGATCAAGATGTCCCTTGAACCAGTGACACTGCGGACCATCAAATCCTCGCACTTGACTGTAGGCCTTCAAAACAACCGATGCTGAAAAAACAGCGAGGCTCAAGACAGCGACAGCAGCCACGGACGCCAAAAGTAGGTACGGTTCTCGAGCACTGGAGAGCAGCCACTCCAAATCTCCAAACATTTCTGATCAATCGATTGCGTGCTTCGAGTCTGTTCACGAGGACAAAGTGTCGTTGACTGGTCAATCAAGTAAAGCCTAGGAATTTATAAGATGCGGATCGATTGAAACGAGAGAGGAGATTGAACGGCTTAAACGTTACGCGACATAAGGAAAAGGTTCACTTGTTGTGATCATTCTGGAAGTTTAAATATCAACTTACCCACGTGCGTATCTCTAGTAAGTTAGATCACTCATTGCCGCTGTCGGAGTCAGAAAAGGGCGGTAAGGTTTTGAAGATAAAACGACCCACTTCATTTACGTACTCTCTAAGGTCCTCTAAAAATGTATATTGTCATTTGACATACTCAATCCCTATTCTGTCACCACACCGCTCTACCAATTACCCTTCAATTGGGCAAATATATGACATCTGAATATGAAATTTTAACCAATCCTTTGAGAGAGAGGTCTGCCCCACAAACCTGTTATCCTGATGCTTGAGCTGCAGCAATGCAGTTCTCCAAGAGTAGCACCTTATCTAAAGGACCCATTTCCGTGAATGCCATGGAATGCAGGCTCCCCTACAGAGCGTCTGATTATCAGGAGCGAGTCCATTGGCTACTGTGTACCTCCAAACAAAGTGGAATTGATCTGAAAAAGGTTAAGCTGTTAGAAGGACGACATGTGTTCTTGAATACTTCCTTAAAAACTGAACGGGAGAGTGTGAGGAGACAAGAGAGGACTCAAGAGAGTTATCGGTTCCTTTCATGTGTAAAGGGTAAATGTACCGACACCTGTCATATACTGACCCAGCCCATGCGCACGACCATGACCGATCGGTAACATGAAGCAGCAATGAAGGGATGTGGAAATATGGCCGAAAAGTATCTCTGTATCTTGGTCTTAGCGCATACACTGGGGATGAGCCAGCTGCAATATGTTGACGAGAAACCTCTTGTTTAAACTTTCATAGTAGATCAAACAGATCTTTCAAACCTTAATCACTGAACAGAAACCGATGACATAAATATTGAACGACCTTAGAAAAAGGTTAAACAGGCGAATGGCCGGAACCCAGAACGGAAACACCAACTAAACGCTTTGTTTTTATGAATCAAAGTGGTCTGTTACAGCAGGGACCGTGTAACTATCTAGAGATCACAATTACAAGATAAAACAGGACATGTGCAACAAATGTGCTCAATCATGGTCCAAATATCATCGCAAAATATACGGCCGGAAAATTGCAGTGTTTATTTGTTTATTCACTGATTTGCGTTAAGTATCTCACTGTCGTAAATAATAGTATCTTGTTTCATTGCTGTGTATTTTCTCGTGTCATACGTCATCTATCGCGAAATGGCGCGGGCAGCGAGGGACTCGGGAACGTGCAACGTAGCGTTTTTCAAAGCCTGGTGTTTTTTAAGATTATTAAAATCCTAATCCCCTTGCTAGTATCTTTCTTCGTATCTTAAAGTTTTATTTGGCATATAATGTATCGTGAAAAGTGCTGTTTTGATCTCTTAAAACGGACATCAACAGTCACTCGAAACAAATATAGAGCTGTCCGGTACAATTGCCAAGAACGACAACTTATGTGCAGATTTAGAATAAATCCTGTTTGCTAATAGGAGATCAGCCAGTTTTATTACCACTAGATCGCGCTCTTCCAATGTGCCAATTATTTCAAAAATGCCAGTACGGAACTTCTAATTAAACATTGGGTGATTGATACGCAGTTAATGCAGTTAAGGCAATTACAAACACGAACTCAGCCGGAATCGCCACCTGGCGTAAATTCACCTTAATTGTTTGCTTTATATGCTCTGTATGCCAAGTTTGTCAATGTCGAAAACGGGTCCGCCGAATCAACTTGTGACTTACCACCACAAAAGTGTCTCTGTTTATTTGTTCCTGGGTATAAATTCCAGCAATGTAGGAGCTGCTCGTAAGGTGTTTCCTCACTGGTCGCAAAAACCGATAACACATCATTGATAATCATTTTTTCCCATAGTTTTACGGTTAGGGTATCGAACCAATTGGCTTTTAGGGTTAGGAGAGCTGCTACATTTTGCAGTTTCTCCTCTGCGTGATTAAGGGTTTAAGTTAGTTCTATCCCAAAATTATTCCAATTTTAAAAAAGCAAGCGCAAAACTGGCTAGGACGTTTGTCCTCATTGGTGGTCCGAGCTGCTCCTGATTAGTGCCGCAGGGCTTCGTGATTGCCGATAGTCCCAAACTCGCCCACAAGTTTGAGGTGTTGCATATTTTCTTTCGCGGCAAAATTGGTGATCAAAGCACGACTGAACTAAGTCAGTTACTCGGGGGGGGAGGGGGGGAGGGGGGAGGAGGCACTCAAGGACAGTTTGGGTGGAGGTGTGCCGCCGATGATTGATTTCGTTTCGCATACAAAATAAAGTAAACTGTTAAGCTATCATCATCGAATCAGATTTTGGGAAAAATTCGCACAAATTCGCCAACCTTCACATTTCTTTTAGGCCTTCCGGCCCAAAAAGACATCCTGTTCAAACGGTTCAAGAACCTGAACTCAATATCATGCTTAGCGACACATAACAAGTGACTACCGCCTGGGGGATCAATTATCACTACCACTACTCACTATAACACATTTTTCGGAATGGAAGTGCTGCAATTATTTACTGTACTATACAAGGGTGATTAATTCCAGTTAGCCTTTCAGCTAGGCTGAAAGTTTCAATGTGTTTTTTCTTGTGGTGTGCATTTCAACTCAAGTTGTTGATCTATGAGGACTTTCCAAATATCGACTGACATCACAATTAAAGCTAGCTGGCTTGAGACCACTTGTTCTCATCAAGACGCGCTAACAATTTCAATTCTTTCACCTGTACAGTCGCCCCCCCCCCCCCCCCCCCCCCCCCCCACACACCCCCCCCCCCGGTCTTTCCTTTATCATCCCTTCCAACACCTTTTTTTACAGCTTTCCTCCTCTGAAATGCTTTATTTTTTCTACAAACTACTTGAAAATATACAAACAGTATTGCACATCCCCACCCTGTTTTTTCGGCCCCGCACCC